ATGGGATTACTCCCGGAGATCTGGTGGAGAATACGTTGAAATAGAGATAGAGCGAGAAAGGGTTTGGTGCTGGAGCTGTGTTGTATTTGGGGGGTGTGAATGAGCTGGCCAAAGAGAAACAATTAAACAAATGTCGTGGGGCGAAGGTAGGTATAGATGAGAGTGGTTAAAGCCTAGATGCTACTTGCATGACATGAGATGCAGAGAAAGAGAAAAAGAGAAAGGCTTTGGTTTTGGCTTCGGCTTCGGCTTCGGCTTCGGCTTTCGGCCTGGAAAGTCCCCTCATGGGAAGGGGAAATTAGTGTTGGGGGACTTCATATTTATATACTAATGTATTTTTGCCCCTTTTATTTATTTCATTTCTTTCTTCTCTTCCCAATGCAATTCCTTTTTACAATTTCACCCTGCCTATATAAATGAAACTTATAAGCCACTCCTCTAGTCTTACTACTCTTGTAAACTCATTCTTCTTTTATCAACCAATTCTTCCATTAAGAAAGACGAACTAAACGTTACAATAGAAATGTGCCGAGGCCCCTCCATCGACCTCTCCGGCTCTGTCGTCGACCAAAAAAACCTATTCTCCGTCCGGTTACGACTGAGGATACATGCGCTTTTGATCTTGCTGATATAAGATGCAACAGCTTGACTCTGACAACACCCTGTACCACGAGCTTTTGATCCTTGGTGTTTCCCCATTCATCCCAAGCATGTGAATGTGTTAGAATTATCAAAAAGCAATTGCTTTTATATGTTAAAGTAGGGCAATTAGTGACAGCAGTTTGGTCTGGAAACAGACGATAATCAAATGATGATCATATTGAGTCATGGACATCATTCATTGTCCCCTGTGCAAGGAAACAAAAGGATCTTTACCTATGATGTTTAATAAAGCATCCATTGTTTGGTGTTTGTTGGAAGAATATGGCTGGTGGCTGGCATGTCAAACGGTGAGCGACAAAGGGAAAAAGTAATTTTTAGTCCTTAAATTCTGATAATCTTTTTAATTTGATCCGCGAACGGTGAGCAGTTCTAGGTTCATATTTTAATATCTTCGACCGTTTTTTTTATCTCATATCATGGCCTCATTTATTAAATAATACATATTAACATATATGATATAAGATAAAGTACTCAAATGATGGGTAATGAGTGGAAGCAATACAAATTTTATATTTATTTAAGTAGATGGCACCTAAATAATTATATTCAAGAACAGTAATATTCTTTTTGACAAGATGCTCGCCACGTAAAACATGACACAAGTACTATTATTTACGACATTTTAAAAAATAAATTTACACATATTATAGTGAAATATAGAGGTAAGTATTATTTTTTGTTTTATTGGTATTTTTTCGAGTTAGGGGTTATTATAAGATATTATTTATTTATAAGTTTTTTTAGTTATTGACATGATACATAAATTTTATAAATGTAATTGTTCGAACTTGAATATTTTTTAAAAAAAAATAACACTCTTTTTTATCATTAAAATCATTTAATAAGTTCATTTTATTAATATCTTTTGTTGTGTTTTATCGAAAGTAAACTTATAATGTATATAAACTAACCAATTTACTTAGGGGGTAAAAGTTTTTTTATTAAGATAAAGTGATTATAAAGTAGTATTTGTTCTAAATACTCTTAACTATTTGACAATGAACATTCAATCATCATGTTGCAATCGTTGGTGCTCGAATTCGTGACCTCTAAGAAAAATAATAATTCTTTTAACCGTGAAGGTAAGTTAATTCGTGATTCAAGGGGGTAAAAGTTTGGAATGTCGAACTCGATATTGAAACGTATTGTTGATAGCAATTCAGAGTTTAACATAATACAGTAGTGCCTAGCATAGGGCACGGCCTTTAATAAAATACAGACTAGTAGCTATGCAGTCTGCGGTTAGAGAAGGAATAAATATGAACTTACTTTAGATTGTTGTATTCTCCCAAAGTTTCAAAGTACGCAAGTCCCCCTTCTTTACTGCATTTTCCATTATTAAATTAGTAATATGTGCGGGGTTAAACGATAGTTGTTATTCTTATAATTTTGGGATTAGAAAACGTCGTTTATAAGGGTGTTTGAACAATTATGGAGTGGCTTCAAGTTGTTACTTTAGATCGTGGGGTGGCTCTCCCCTTCCAATATTATGCCTTGGGGTGGCTTTTGGCACATGAAGGTCGACTCACCTACAGAATTCGCTAGAAGAGCTTTGGGTTTGAGTTGCGACTCCAAGGACCACTTCAAAATTTTATCTTCCATAGTTGGCCTACCGTTTTAACGTATTCTTTGTTGTTGTTGTTTGTTGGATCGAGTGATAAAGAGTTTAATTTTTTTAAAATAAAATATTGAATTTAAGTTTTGTAGATGAAAAAGAACCAAGTTTGGCAGAATTACAGAAGAGTCCAACATAATAAAATTCTATATCGGTGGAGATGAAATGAATGGAAAGGCATGGGGCATGGGGGGATCGGCTTCGAGTTGGGTAGCAAATAGTATACTAAGCAAAATGGTGGGCACTTTTGGCTGCAAAAGCTGTGATGAGTCTGCAGAGAGTGGGAAAATTTTTTATGCGAATCTGAACGTGTAAGGTACAGTGTATACTCAGCTTTTTGGTTATGTTTGAAGGCAGCTACTATCATGTTTTTTTTTTAATCTTGTAATACAAGGCCCCTGGTGCAGCACCTGGCCAGGCCAATCAATTTGCCGACCCATCCCCATGGCCGAATGATGTAAATAAATACCGGCCTCCTTTTAATTACCTATTTTAATCCGTTGCATGCAGGGATTAAATTACCTAATTTCAATCCATTTCATCCGAGGTTATCTCATTTCATTGAACATTCATGGAATACTTGTCGGATAATGTACATGCAACTCTTGAATATTGGAAGGGTCATACATTCTCACAAGATTTATTGGGAGGGTTAAAGGTAAAAGCTGCACAGTGGCCCATTTTATTATCAATCTCTGACAGCAGAAATTAAGTTGAGATATTTCTCAAGTATCATTTCAGGTGAAGAATCCGTGAAATAGCCCTGTTCCACATCCAACCCTTCTTTGGCAGCGAGCACGGAGCATCTCAACCCGGGACTGGACCCTATCTGCTCCGACCCGATTCGGCTCTAGAAGAATGCAAGCTATCTCAATCGAGTTCTCGCCATGGACCAGGCCCAGTGATTGGACCGTCGGAAGACCACCTCTTCTCGCGCTCACCATTCTCGCAATGCGGCGAGCCGACGCATCAGTTGACATAACAGGCACATTGTATAGTCCAAGCCATTGGGATGCCCCGATCATGGTGATGCCTCTAGCCCAAGATACACCGGTGCCCTTCATCGGGCTTTACAGAGAGTGTTTCAGGCAAAGCCCAGCCTACCCATCGATTGCCCATGGCATTGGGCCTGTAATAGCCGAGCTCCCGCCTGATGTTAGTTATCCAGGGCCCTCCCTGTTGGGTGTGCCGCACCAAACAAAAACTGGCACTGCAACATTAAAACAGAAACAATGTTACAAATAAGTTTTCAATACTATTTAGAAGAATAACTTACCTTGGAATCGGTTGCCAATGTGTGCTGCAATAGCCTTGGCAAGCCAAGCTGCTTCGTCCAAGGATGCCCAAACCAAGGGATGCAAAACGATACCGGAATGCAGCTCGAGGTTTAAGGTTCCATATGCAGCCTCAACCATGGCTAGGACAGTTTGTTGCGAGGGGCTATAAATAGCACTACCCGTGCTGTCATGAACAAAGTACGAAACAAGAGTGAAGCGTGTCCGGTTGTACACTCGGTCCTCGAATTTGTTGAGGATCACAGTTTCCGGGTCTAGCCTTGCAGCTCTCTATGGCGTCAAGGGGTTCTCGGCTTCGAGATTCAGAGAAATAGATCTTGCAGCATATCAACACCGACTGAGTTGCACCTTTTTTCTTCTGGTTATACACAAACCGTTGACAGATAGTTTAACTAGCTAGCAAGCAAAGGGATAGAAAACTCCATAACTAGAGTCGGACCTTACCTTGGTACTTGAGCTAATATTTGTCGGAAAAACTCGATAATTTTGGAGCTTTGAATGAGAAATTGATTCAAACGTTGTTGAAGAAAATGTAAAACCAATTGTTGGTTTGTAAATGTGTAGACGTGCACAATATAAGTAACGTGAATGTCCGAACCAATTGATCTTCATTAATATTATCAATTTGTAACAAAATAATTACTAACGTTATGAACTTGTACTAAAATGATCACTCGCCATTAACAATTATTAACATGGGCCTGGGATGGACCTAGGGGAGCGCGGGGTAGTCGCCTTTCCTCCAAAATCTAAAATTATCATATGATTTAGATTTTTTTTATGTATTTTCTATTGAAGATATATTTTCGTCTTCTAAAATTTTATAAGTTTAAATTTGTCATAATTGAATTGGGCGACGGTCCACGGAAAATTGAGCTGGACCGTTACCTGCCATGTTGATCGGTCACCCTACTACCATAACTGTTTCTTCTTCTGTTTTCCTTTTCTGCTATTAAAGCTGTACAATGGGATATTGGTTTCCATAGTGAAAAGTGCATGAATACCCACCTCTTTTGCATTAGTCATGTAATTCAAAGAAGCCTTGAACAGAAGTAGAACAATTTTCTAAGCAAGACGGTAATGTTGTCTTTCAAAGATTCAAGCTTTAGCTTTTTGTAAACAGCAAAGCACTTTATTTTATTTGGCTAAAACATTCAAAATAACAGAAACGAATATCGCCGAACCAAAAGTCTGCTTTTACAAGATCAAAGAAGAAATGGTCATAAAGAAGAGGAAAGGACGCATGATTTTATTTAAGAATAAAGCTTTTTTTTTATAGAAACTTGTAACTAAATATTGTTAATTTATTTAAATTTAATACACATGATTTTATTTAACTAACTTTAAGGACGCATCAGTATTATACCATATGTCAAATCATTTGCATGATCTTCATGAAGTTCAAACAAGAGAAATAAACTGTGTACGTGATTCTTAAGAAGATCAAAATGTATTTGTGAGGCAAGAGAGTAGCAGCACAAACTGAGATACATGAAAAGACCAAAAAATACATCCGAGATCACATTTCACCCATTAATGAGAACTCAACCTCATGTACCTTTCGATAATCTGGTATGGTGTAAGATCGGTGAAATACCCCTCTCCTATGCGCAAACCCTCCTCCTTTGCGAGCCTCTCAACTTCAAACTGAACTCTGTCTCCTCCCACTTGACTTGGTTCCAGCAAATAACAAGCCACCTCAGTAACACCATCGCTATGTGCAAGCCCCATCGATTGCACTGAAGGAAGTCCACCTCCTCTCTCACTCACTTTTGAAGCAATCCTACGAACAGCTGCAATATCAGTTGAGAACACGGGGGCATTGTAGTTAGCAACCCAATGGGTTGCTCCAATTAGAATAACGCCTTTTGTTGGAGATGCTTGAGCTGGACCTGCCTCAGGCTTCAGTGGCAAGGACCCTGATTTAGACCCTCCAGACCATAGAATACTGCCCAAGTTAGGCTTGAAATAACCAAGTTCTCTTCTGATAGAATCAAGCAACCTTCCCTTCTCGTTGGCAGCCCCATAAAGAAATGTAGGTACTACACAGTTAGCATTCAAGGTCATCAGCAATGATTCTTGCATACTGCCTTTCAACTTCTAAATTTAAATCAAGGCGGGCAACAAAGATGATACAATGATTCAAAATTAGAAAAAGAAAAAAAAAGTAAAAGAAATAATATCAACATGTAAAATAGCATATTTATAGTTCTAATGTCGAACGAACAAAATGTCTACGATAAGCAACATGTAGATCATTCCTCTGGCCTATTCCAGAGAGGAGAGAGTGACTGTTCATTGCAGATACTCAGAATGACAAATAACTACAACAAAAGAACAGAGAAACATCAATTCTATCAACCTCTACAATACCTGACTGGAGTCTTACAAAATAATTGATTAAAAAGGAAGAAGTAAATCTTCCAGGCTCCAATTATACATTTTCTTTGCTAAATCATATCCCAAACTTCCACTGATTAATCCAACTAATACTGGCAACATCTACATAGCATTTAATTCAAAAGGAAGAAACCTTCGAGCTTAGAGCCTATATCGGCTGCCAACCACTTTGCAATCTGAGCTGCCTGGTCCAAGGAAGTATGTGGCAAGGGGTGAAAGCATATATGATCAACAACTCCGAGTCGAGGATGGGTTCCGGAATGCAACTCAACGTCTATGGTCTCCAAAGCAGACTTAACAATGGCAAACACCGTATCTTTCAAAGGACATGAATCTTGAGATGGTTTTGGAGTCAATCTCGAAACCACCGTATACCCAACTCTATTGTAAGTCACATCTATGAACTTATTCACAATAGCAGCCTCTGGGAATAGCTGGGCAGCTCTTCCAATCGACTCCAAAGCTGCTCTATTTCGGCTTTCAGAAATATATACCTTTCCACATGCCAGCATCTTGTTCAACATCTTTGCTTCTCCTCCTCTTTCTACTTGCTCAAGATCTGCCAAAAAGGATACGAGAAAGATATATGGAGATAACAAAATGAGATAAAAGGCAAACATTTAGCCACAGTTTAAGTGAGAAGCGGGGACCAGCACTCCAGCCTAAACAAAAGGTAAATCCAGATGAGAGACAGATCAAGACTGAAACTTTAATAGCACACTGCACTACTTAATACTGATTAATCGAGAATCGATTTCCAAATTCGACAAAAACAAGATAAACAAAGAGCATTAGCATCTGATACCCAACGTATGCAGCAAAAAATACCTACAATCAAATTAGCTGAAATCAAAATTCGATGTCATTAGGTTTTGGGTATCCATTATATTCCAATTTCACACCCAACCCAGCACAGATAGCCCTAAACTTGAGTCTCAAAGCTTCCATTATTTCTTGGACACTTTCGTTTTCTGGATCCATAACAGGGTACTTTTGGATTAGTTCCTGCATCTGCTTGATATTCTTCTGAATCCGAGCAGAGAGCTTGGTCGGATCGACTTGGATGGCGGAGTTCCACACATCGACACAACCCTTGTAGAAACCGAGCTCCTCGCCTGTTTCGAAACCCGTTTTAAGACCCACTTCCTTTCCCTCATCCTTGCCGGTGGTTATGCCATGGTTGAAACCTTCTTCGTAACCTTCTTGGTAATGGATTTTTTCAAGATTTAGCGACGAATCGAAGATATCTTCGGCAGAGTCCATGAAAATAGAACCTAAAACCTTGGTTTTGGGGGCGGCTGCTTTTTATATTGAATGATTCAAAGGAAGTACAACAGGCTGGAAGCCTAACTCTGGCCCAATAAAAATTTGAATTATGAAAAATATTTTTATATAAAAAAACAATAAAATTGAAATTTAAAAATGATTGTTTGTTATGATATTTATTTATTAAAATTTAAAAATAAATTAAAAAAATTGACTATTTTTATTTATTTAAATTTTTATTGTATATTTACTTATATTTGTATATTTCGGAGAAGCCAATAGTTAAATAAAAGCAGGGCACCAACCATGACGAAATCGAAGAAGCTGACAAGATCAAACAGAATACAAACAATATGGAAGTCAAGGAACCCGAGAAAGCTTAAATTAGTTCTAAAGGTCGAAATGAAGCAGACGATGATATGTAGAATCGGAAAAGCCTGACTTTTCCAGCAATTATTGATTTCACGTTTGAATCCGAGGGTGGAGGAGAGAATAAAGAGGAAAAAGATGAGTCCAATTTTAAGTTTTGTGACATAGTTGTGGAGCATTTTAAGCAGCTGAGGATTACTCTTATATAATATTGTCATAACTTTTGACAGTACAATTACAACACAACATCAATAAAATTATATTCCCATATGCAATAGGGTAAGGGGAGGTAGGGTAGTAGACTGCTCTCAACGCATAGTTGAGAGTAACTTCAGTAGAAGACCTCCGACATTCAGAAAATTAAAAAATAAAAATAAAATGCAATGCATGTATAAATAAATAAATACATAGTTGAACAGTCTTCATATGTAGTCTTCATGTGCTCGTTTGTAATGGTAAGTAATCCCTGCAACTAAATTTCTACTTTAAAAATCTCTGCATTTAGATAGAAACGTTAGACCCGACTAAATTTAAAAAAAAGAAACATAAAGAGAATGATATCCAGAAGTCAACGATGGCAAGCTACGAGAAGGAATAATGTCAAAAGAGATAAAACCTAAACTAAGGCAACACTACTCAGCAACCCTAGTTCTAAGCCTTCAAAAATTCAAATGACAGAAACGTATAAAAAGTAGAAGTCATGGAAATTGCTATAAAGGCATTAAAAGAAGACAAAGAAGATACACCCTATGGATGTGACCCGCACTACTCGGATATCATGGTCTTAAGTCTCCATAATTTCCTATCAGAGGTCATGTCTTCGGTTATGGCTAAATCCTTCAAATCAGATCTCAAACAGTCTTCTCACTTCCGCCTTGTCATCCTCTTCTTCTGGCACCGTTGACTATAATCGACTCAACTCTCCTGACCGCATTCGACGGTTGTCTCCTAAAGACATGTCCAAACCACCATAGTCTTCCCTCCCTCAATTTTTCGGACACAGGCAACACCCCCAAGTTTAACCTAATAGCAGAGTTTGGTGTCATGTCCCACAGAGTCCTACCACATGTCCATCAAAGCATTCTCATTTCTGCGGCCTTCATCCTCCTTACGTGATCCTTCTTGATTATCCAACATTCTGATCCATACAGCATCGCTGGTCTTATTGCCATTCTATAAAATTTTCCCTTAAGTTTTAGAGGCACCTTTTTGTTATACAGAATTCCAATAGCAGCCCTCCACTTTAGCCATCCCGCCTTTATACGGTGAGTAACGTCATCATCTACACCTCCATCTTTATGTATCATAGACCCTAAGTACTTGAAACAATCCTTTGAGGAGAGAACGTGTTCTTCTATGCATATTTCTATATCTTCATCGAAGTATCAGTACATAGTCAATGCCTGCCCATAACATAATTCACACCTCATTTTCCATCATATAAAAGGTGAAATCCAATAGAAAGTTCAATTCAAAAAGTATACTTCACTACTTTTCAAATCCATCAACAGAATATCTTATCAACAAAAGCGAAAACAATATCCTGAGGACATCAAAGTTACAGGCACACATTATTACTGGGAATCTTGTAAAAACCTAAAAGCTCCAACCTCATTTTTGTGCCGTTTCCACTGCATTCTACAAGAAGAAAAAGATAAAATGAGAGGAGAAGCCATAATACACACACTACACTAATGTGGAACCTAAGAAACTGTTAAGCACTCCTATTAGCTATCACTAGTTAGATTCTCAATGAAATTAGATCACACGGTAGTGATCATCAACAAATGGACGTGTGACGGAAGACAACACTGCACTTGATCATATATAAACCACTTATGGTTTTCAACCATAATCTGGTTTTTACTGCAGGTAAATAATACTCATTCCATGTAATAACAGTAAAAATTCAACATTGACCAACAGAAACATATCCAGCCAAATGGGGAATAGATAGGCCTAACTGAAAAGAAAATCTGCAACAAAATTTGACCGATGGAATTCTCTTGAGAAGGAACTTACAGTCCATACTCCATTCCTACTTACCCAAACCTTTCATTTTCTAACATGTGCTAAACAGATATTTCGATATGAGTAAGACTGTATGATCCTCCAGATAAGAAGGCAAAGCTTAGAAAAATTGAGCATAATTGTCTTGGACTTGCACACCTCGAGTCCGAGTAACATAACATTGACAATGCAAGAAATTGCTTATTCAATTCTAGATAAGTAAAAGTTCAGAGTATATAAAAGTACCTCTTCCTTCTTGCCTTTGCCTCTGGTTAAGAACTTGTATCCGCCATAGAAAAGCAGACCCCAACCAGTTAAAGAGACGATAACGAACTGTGCAATCATTCAAAGAAGTGAATACAGTTTCTACATTTGCGCCTCCAATTTATCAACAATATCATCAAATAGATTGAAAAACAGTGCCTATGAAATAATACATGATAAAATAGGAAGTAAAACAAACATCAGTGTATGCTGCAATCTAACAGCGGCCAAAACTCAACAAGATATCATTGACAATGGAGAGGGCGTAGATTATAAATATAAATGAATCTAAAAAATCCCAATTTCCTACTCCAAAAAATCTAAAATCGGGAAATAAGACAAGAAATGATGAGAAAAATTGAAATATAAAACATGAAGAGAAACAAACTGACATGTTCTTCCTTCCATTTAGCTGGGTTCATTGGTTCTTGCCAACAATTAACTTTTGGGGGTCCATGGTGATCTGACAGAAAATAAAATCAAGAAAAATCATGTAAAATCATGTTCATAACTTCTACGATCCTTTGCCTCTGACTATGATCAAATTCAAATGACATAAAATTGAAGTTAACGGGCAGATAATTTTACAATCGAAAAGAATATAAATTTAAAGAGTAAAAAAGTTTTTTTTAAAAAAAGTATACAGAAAATACCTGCGGCGCCGGCAAGACCACGGCGAAGAATGAGAGAAGAGGCTTGAGAATGAACCGGTGTACGAGTTACATTCGCTATTCTACGACCTGCAACCGCCGCCAAGGTAGCCATCAAGGTGGTTTCTTCTTTTCTTCGGCGTCTAGGGATTATTTTTTACTATTATTATTTTTTTGAACAATTCGGTGTGTACAAGAGAATCGGGATGGCATATGTATACTGTAACCCCCTAGACCCGGCCTATGCGTTTCGACTAAGTCTAGTGGATCACATTATAATTATTAAAGACATTTTTTCGCAACCGTTATTCCATCAATATAAAATCACATTATAAAAACATGAAATTATAAACAATTTATACTATCAAAATCCAACTTGTAAATATAGTACAAATAAATAATAATTTAATTTAAAACATGTCTTCAAATTCAAAATCACAATGAACCGAGCAGTAGTAGCAAAAGTGTTATCATTATAAAATCCGATATTTTAAAATAAGGTCCATGTCACCAAAATAAAGTAAACTTGCCAGATAAAAACATTACAATCTGATTTACTTCAAGAGATATGTTGATCCTCCAAGTGCTCGAACCAAGGTATCTACCCAACAGTATCTGAAAGGGGAAAACATTTTCAAAAGGTGAGCTAGGCTCAGTGTGTCCCAACATTTCCATAAAATCACAATAGGTACAAATCATATTCCAGTAATCTCACAAATTCGTAAAAAGAGTTTAACTTTTTGAAAATCATAGTTTAAACCCTTTTCTGGTACACCATCAGTAGTTCCCAAAATTATTTCCATATAGCTTAATTTATGCACATAGCAAAAAGAAAGCCGACTTAAGGATAGGCTCTGAAGCTTGTATCCTTAAGCCCAAGTCAATAAGTCCATATAGCTTACCCTAAGCACACAGCAAAGGAAAGCCGACCTAATGAAACATCTTGGGGCCCTCAAGAGTCACATTAGGCCCAGTTAGCTTGATCAGAGCTATTCCATCGTATTTCAATTCCAAAATTCAATTGCACCGTGACATAAACTCCATAAATCCAAAAACATAGTAATCATATACCATTTCAAAACAAAAATTAGATAGCAGCCATATTCCATAAATTGTCACATTAAATTGGTGCATTCATAAAACAATAGCCAATGAATTCGGTGTACCACATATTAAAACCAATAAAACAGTTCAATAACAAGTAGGGAACACACCTCGACAATAGATTCAAATAACAAATCTACTGATTGCTGGTTTCACCACGCTCTGCTACAGTTTTCGAACGGGTAAATACTGACACACGTGGTTTAACTGATCTAGAAGAGCTGGGTCGAGCTGTCGAACGATCCGGAGAGTCTCTTGTACCTTCAAACAATAATATTTATCAGTCTCAAATCCTATTTAATTGTTCAAAGCTAAACTTCTTAAGTATATACGCATTTTTAGGGTTTGACTATCAATTTGAGGTATTTCGAGTCTGAATTTGGCCAAACGGATTACGGAATCGGAATCAGGGCGTCGAAAAACATAAAGTATGACTTTTCGAAAATTCAAATTCTTGGTCAAAGTCAAAGTCAAGCACTTTGACCGTAGATTTGGAGACCTTCGGATTCGAATTTGACAAAACGGACCACGGAAACGGATTCGGCACGTCGAAAACTATCAGGATAGGTATACTCGGAAAAGATTAACGGTCGTTTAATGCTCGGTCAAAGCCATTTTAAGTTTTGGTCAAAGAAAGTCAATGGTCAATGGTCAACGGTCAACGGTCGGGTCGGGTCGGGTCAACGGCCGGGTCGGGTCAACGGTCGGTTCGGGTCGGGTCAACGGTCGGGTCGGGTCAGGTCAACGGTCGGTTCGGGTCGGGTCAACGGTCGGGTCGGGTCAGACCGGTCAAACCGATTCAGACCGGTCAAACCGGTTCGAACCGTTTGAAACCGGTCAAACCGGTCAGAACCGGTTGAAAACCGGTTAAACCGGTTTCCAGCAGCCACTCGCCCTGCGGCGGCGCGTGTGGCGCGTGAGGCGTCCTCCGGGGCCCTAAAAATCCCGGAAAAATTTCTAAAAATTATTTTGAGCGATTTCAAGATACTTACAACGATCGGTTCAAATTTTTGAACGGCGGAGAGCTCGATTTCAAATCGGCCGAATCTTTGACTGCACCACCTCCTCACGCGCCGCCGTCTACGGCGGACAAGGTTGACACCGGTGAACTCGGAACGGCACAAGGAACACGATGGTGCGGGAGGTGTCGTAAACGGAGCAACGATCAGCGGTGAATTTAAGATTTCCTCGGCGATAGAGCTAACAAAACCGTCGCTACTTTGACTGGAAATTCCCGACGTTTGGCCGCGTTTCGCTTCAATTAATTTGAAGGGTTTGTTCCTCGCTCGATGATGAACACAACGGTGGTTTCAAAACAACGATCGGAATTCGGACGGCGTCGGAATCGGCTTTGAAGTAGAGTGCGGGAGGAGGAATTTCACAATTGTTTTCTGTTTTGAAAACAGAAAACCATTCATACGCTTAAATGAAATTTTCTGCCGACACTAAAAGGAGTAATGCAGGGCTTGGTCCCTGAATTTCCTTTAACTTCTAAATGGCCTACAATTTTGAAAACTTTCGATTTAATCCTCAAATTTTGCCAAATTACTTAATTAAATTTTTTTTCTCTAAATTTTATTCCGGGTTGTTACAATTCTCCCCCTCTACAAGAAATTTCGTCCTCGAAATTTACCTTATGAGAATAGTTGAGGAAACTGAGCCTCCATTGACTCCAATGTCTCCCAAGTAGCTTCTGAGGGGCCTCGATTACTTCACTGAACTTTGACCATTGGAATTCGCCTATTCCGAAGAACTCTTTCATCTCTTTCTAAAATCTGAATGGGCTCCTCCTCATATGACAAATCAGGTCTTAGCTCTACTTCTTCAACCTGAATAATGTGACCTGGATCTGGACGGTATCTCCTCAACATTGATACATGAAAAACATCATGAATACGACTTAACTCAGAAGGCAACTCAAGCTGATATGCTACAGGTCCTACCCTCTTCAAGATACGAAATGGTCCAATAAATCTTGGACTTAATTTACCCTTACGCCCGAATCTCAATACTTTCTTCCAGGGTGAAACTTTCAAAAAGACCCGATCTCCCACTTCAAACTGTATATCCTTCCTTCTTTGATCTGCATAAGATTTCTGCCTATCAAATGCCTCTTTCAGACGATCACGGATTAATCTGACTGTGTCCTCCATCTCTCGCACTAACTCAGGTCCCAACGTTTTCCTATCACGCAACTCAGTCCAACAGATCGGAGTGCGACATTTACGCCCATAGAGTGCTTCATAGGGTGCCATACGAATACTGGTCTGATAACTGTTATTGTAAGCAAATTCAGCCAACGGCAAAAAGTTCTCCCAACTACCATGAAAATCGATTACGCAACCCCGCAACATATCCTCCAGAATCTGAATTACTCTCTCAGATTGACCATCAGTTTGTGGATGAAAGGATGTACTATAATCCAATCTTGTTCCCCAAAGCCGTATGTAACGCCTTCCAAAATCTCGAAGTAAATCTCGGATCTCGATCAGAAATAATAGACAATGGAATACCATGCAATCTGACAATCTCTGAAATATACAATCTTGCCAGCTTATCCAAAGTATAATTTACTCGCACAGGAATGAAGTGAGCTGACTTTGTAAGTCTGTCAACAATCACCCAAACTGAATTTTTTTTTAAAGGAGTCATAGGCAAGCCAGTAACAAAATCCATAGTAATACGCTCCCATTTCCATTCAGGAATCTTGATAGGCTGTAACAAACCTGATGGATGTTGATGTTCTGCCTTAACTTGCTGACAAGTCAAACACCTAGCCACAAAGTCAGATATGTCTTTCTTCATACCAGTCCAATAATACCTCTCTCTCAAATTCCGGTACATCTTATCTCCTCCGGGGTGCATAGCATATGGACTACTGTGAGCCTCAGTAAGGATAGTCTGCCTCAATTCAGCGTCATCAGGCACACAATATCTACCTTTAAAGCATAAAACTTCATCCTGATCAATTGCGTAATCTGTGTTTGTCCCCTGCTCTACTTGCTCAAAGATGGAAAGCAAGGAGCTATCAAGGGGCTGCTTAGCTTTGATCTCATCAACCAAGGTCGGCTTAACTTGCAATTCTGCTAACAAAGTGCCATCGTCATATAAATTCATCTTGGCCATTAAAGACCTCAACTCCGATACCGTCTTTCGACTCAAAGCATCTGCTACAATGTTAGCTTTACCAGGGTGGTAATCAATCACGCAATCATAATCCTTTAGAAGCTCTAACCAGCGACGCTGTCTCAAATTAAGTTCCTTCTGGGTCAGAAGATACTTTAAGCTCTTATGATCTGTGAAAATGTAACACTTCTCTCCATAAAGATAGTGTCTCCATATCTTCAAGGTAAAAATTACTGCTGCCAACTCTAAATCGTGAGTAGGATAATTACACTCATGCGGTCGCAGCTGACGGGATGCATAAGCCACCACCTTACTTTCCTGCATTAAAACACAACCAAGTCCTGAATGTGAAGCATCACTATACACTGTAAAATCCTTCCCGGACTGTGGTTGAATCAACACCGGTGCTTGAGTCAAAACCGCCTTTAATTTCTCAAAGCTCTCCTGTTGTGCCTCACCCCAGTCAAACGACACATTCTTCCTTAACAACTTTGTCAAAGGAGAAGCAATGATCGAAAAGCCCTCAACAAAACGTCGATAATAACCAGCCAAGCCCAAGAAACTGTGGATTTCAGATACGTTCTTAGGTCGTTTCCAATTCATAATAGCCTCTATCTTGCTGGGATCAACCTGAACACCTCGCGCAGAAATAATATGCCCCAGAAATGACACTTCTTGAAGCCAAAACTCACACTTGCTTAGTTTGGCATATAGACGATGCTCTCTCAAAGTCCGCAGAACGATCTTCAAATGCTCGTCATGCTCTGCCTCCGTACGAGAATAGATCAGAATATCGTCAATGAAGACCACCACAAATTGATCCAAATATGGTCGGAACACCCGATTCATCAAATCCATAAAAGCTGCAGGAGCGTTCGTCAAACCAAAAGGCATCACTAAAAATTCATAATGACCATATCTAGTGCGAATGGCCGTTTTTGCAACATCAGATCCT